TCTTAAGCTCTCGCAGCTTTTGATATTTCGGAGTGTTCATGCGGCTGATATTGGAGAATAATGTTTTTCCTCCTCTTCTAATGAATTTCTCACGATTGCCTTTCCTTGTGCACAAAAGCAACCTATGTTTCCTGGTCATTTCTTTTTTCAGTAGCCATGGTAATCTCTATCTGATATCCTGTAAGTCAACTACAGAACTTAGAGGATACAACACATCCTATATGGAATTTGAAGAGTGAAGGAGGAAATGATAACACCTACATTTTTAGATGTATGAAAAACAAGGAAGAAAAGATTCCTAGCTGAGGCAACCCTAATTTTTGTACTCAGTCTTGAAATCACTTTGATATTTACCAATCTGTTCAGCGCCTATTACTTGGTTCTCAGCTGGTCATGAGTTGTATTTATTTAAATGAGATTTACCCAAACCTTACTCCTAAGGACTCTAAGTCCTTTGTGTTCCTAAGTTCCCTGGGTTGGTGTAGTCCTCCATCCTCCCATCACTGTGTGGAAACACAGAATGTGCCCCAGAATATCCCCACCGTTCCATATTCTTTCTGATCCCCACTGTGGAGCAGCTGCCTTTAACTTCTAAAAATGAAACCAGCCACTTCATCCCACCCAGTAACACATTCCCCTTCCTCTCTGCCTCGGGAACAACTCTTCTCAACTAGTCTGAGGGTATTAGAAGCAAAATAATTTCTTACTGTAAATGACTTTGCTACCCCTGGTTCCCAGGCCCTAGTGTTCCGGATACAGGATCTAGAACTCCACACATGGGATCCTGCTTAGAACCTGCTGAGTCCTTTGGAACAGCACATCAGCCCCTTGTGGTTCTTACCTTAATCTTCAAACCAAGCTTTTAGTATCTTGTTCTGCATTTGTGAAAAGATCTAATGATTCTCGTGGATGGAGCCCAAGAAAACAGAGAATAGTTCTTTTATGCTGCATACGGTGATGTTGAATAATGCATGCAGTATGGTTTCAGATTTAAGACTGATTTGCGGGTAGGGAAGACAAATCAATATATTTCAGTCCACTCCAGCAAAGTGCGATTGCTGCCCCTACCGGGAGAGAAGAGGAAATGGCTGGCTGGTTCTGGTGGGATGGCACCCAGCAGACATCAATGTTGGCTGCTATGGCAAGCAAGCTGCTCAGCCTGTGTGGAGTCACTCAGCCCAACGATGGACTCAGAAACCTGGGAAATAACCCTAGAGCAGACTCACTGTAGATGCTCTCTGCTGAAGGGACTTGGGCTGAAATGCCATGTGTTCCCTGGATATAACTTTCCAGTCTGACGGAGGAAGCGTGAGGGCAGGCTGGGTCTCCCAGGATTCAGTTCAGTTCCATCAGGGATCCTTTATCCCTGAAGTCCCCAGGCATTTCTCCTCCTGCACTGTATCATCATGCTCATGAATGGCTGCCTTTTTCTTTTAGTGAAAGCTAAGAAGAAGATTTTTACTGGCGTCACTACTGAAAGGTATTTCCTTAAGTGAGCCACACGTGCCATTTAGTCATGATGTAATACAATCTGGATCCTGCCAACCACACACAGATGTGCCAGTTCCTGGATGTGAAAATATGCATAAAGCTGTGGCCTGTGTTCAAGGGCTGATGTCCTGGCTGGTGTGATACTGGAGCTTCAATTCCCAGTTCTGAGTATCGCAGATCCCAGGCAGCAGCGGCAGGTGTCACTCTACCTAGGAAAGCTCTGCAATACTGCTGAACACAGTTTCTGGCTGCTTGGCCCCTCTGCCTCACCAGGAGATTGTGGGACCTTCCCAGTATCTTTTAAAGAAATCATTTCTCTGTGGAGGTTGGCAGGACTAAATTCTGTTGTTTGGGGAAGAAATTAAGTAACTGAACCACTTAAGGAGAAAAAGAATACAAGTGTTCATGAATAGTTTTAATTTAGCCCTTATCTGAAGAAGTGTTTGTCATCAGTACCCAGATTAGCAAGATACAACCATCAATATAGAACGCTTTTCCAGGGTAAGGAAACATCAGAGTGTCATTACAGAGCTAGTATCAAAATCAGTATCATCATGTAATTCCCAGCAGAGGAGAGTCAAGACTGAACGGGAGGCCGGTGTCACGGCTCACTAGGCTAATCCTCCACCTTGCAGCGCTGGCACACCGGGTTCTAGTCCCGGTCGGGGCACCGGATTCTGTCCCAGTTGCCCCTCTTCCAGGCCAGCTCTCTGCTGTGGCCAGGGAGTGCAGTGGAGGATGGCCCAAGTGCTTGGGCCCTGCACCCCATGGGAGACCAGGAGAAGTACCTGGCTCCTGCTATCGGATCAGCGTGGTGCGCCGGCCGGGCCATTGGAGGGTGAACCAACGGCAAAGGAAGACCTTTCTCTCTCTCTCTCTCACTGTCCACTCTGCCTGTAAAAAAATAAATAAATAAATAAAAAAATAAAAAAAAGACTGAATAGGAACTGCAGATCTGAGCTTAAATCATAGCCCCAAACACTGAACTAGCTATGCAACTTTCAGAAAGTTGCTAAATCTCCGGTACTCAATTTATATGCTTTCCAACTGGAGAAAATAATACTTGACTTGTAGAGTCATTAGGAAGATCTAATGAGAAAATGGGAGAGCCTGCCAGAATGCTTCATACACAGCACTTAGATGTTCCATAAATATGAATTTCTTCATTCCAGTTTTCTGTGCTCGCAATTTGGCCCCTGACTGATGATGGTAAGAATCTTATAAAAGGAATATTAGAAGCGCAAATTTCATCAATCGCTCATATGAGTTATTTCTTTGGACCTCGAGAATGGGAGCAGGGATTAGAGGTTAGGACGCCTGTGTTCCTCTTCAGGGTGCCTGAGTTTGAGTCTTGGCTCCAGATTCTAACTCCATCTTCCTGCCAATGTAGATCCTGGGAGGCAGAAGCGCTGGCTCCATTATGTACGATTCTGCCACCCACACAGGAGAACCGGGTTGTGTTCCTGGCTCCAGACCTTGGTCTGGGCCAGCCTCAGCCTTTCCAGGCACTGGGGGAATAGACCAGCTGATGAGCTCTCCCTCTCTCTGTCTCTCTTACTCTGTTTTTCCCCCATCCCAAAAATACTTTTTGAAATCACAAAATGAATATACTCCATTTTATAACACAGCAGTCTCTCCAGCTAGAAACTATTCTTCAATTCCCCTATCAATTCTGGGTTTCAATTTACATAAATACTACCAGAGTCCTTTTCTATCCTGAGCGACTCAGTTCCTAGTCTAAGAGATGGATCACATTGTGATAATCAGTGTATTCTAACCAACTCCAAAGGCAATGCTCTCAGCACAAACTACAGGAGTGCAAACTGAATTTGTGAGCCCAGCCTACACTCAACAGCATGAGAGAACAAAGAACAAGAATCTTCCATGTAATATCTTCCCAGTTCATGCTTTTTTGAAAATACTTTTTATCCTTAAATAGTTTAAGACTCACAAGAAGTAGCCAAAATATTAGGACAGAGTCCCCCTCTACTCTTCACCCTGCCCCCTTCTCTGAAAACATCTTACATAACCACAACATATTGCCCAAACCAGGACATCCCAATTGCTATACTTACATTGGTATAGCACTATGGTACAACACTATTAGCACAAGTACAAGCCTCATGTGTATTTCACCAGTTTTCCATACCTTCGACCCAAAGGTAGAGAATGCACATATCTACTGATCCATGGTTTTATTTGGGCTTCTTTTTTAACATGCAAAAAGTATAATAATTTCCTTGAAACTCAATACATCTGAGTAAACAAAAGGATATTCTAAAAAATACAACCTTAATTCAATTCTGCATACATTGGGGTAGACTGTCAGAATCATGCATTAGACATTTTGAAAGTTCCATTGAGTATGTATTTAAATGCTCCTTCATTCATAATTTTCTTTAAGTCCTCATGTTATTTGGTAAGTAAAGTTTCTTATAGGAAATCTCCTTGGTTCTGATTGTTCCTTTTTGTGCATTAATTTTTAACAGCTCTACTTATGGCCTTTTCGTCAGTTTGTTTATAGTATGGCATGCCAATTCTACATGCTACCACTTAAAAAGCAATAATTTTAAAAAATGTAACAATCATGTGGTTTTTTAAAAAGTCACTGATGCTCAGAAAGCTATAGTCAAAGCCTTGAAATTCCCAACACTACAGTGTGAGGTATTCACCAGTTTATTTAATTTCAGGAAATCTGCTGAGGGATTTGGGATAGTACGTAATTCTTTATGATTTTCCTCTTTTAAAAATGAATAACAGGCTCCTTGTAGTGATTTCCTGATTACCAGAATTAAATGGGAGATGCTAGCATATATACTTAAGAACCGATAGGGTCTCTAAAGCAGATAAACAGGTAAATGATGGACCACTTCAGATTCCCCATTGGATAAGATGGTCTATCTCGGAAGTTAAAATGCAACCCAAAAAGTACCAAACATGCTGGAGAAATTAGATTTTGTTCAAGAACATGGTGCTGGGGGAGAAACCGGAAAGCTCTGTGGAAACAGAGTCGCATACATCGCACTGATGGTCAGTGTTTCCACTCATTCTCTTTCCTTGCCTGAGGCACCCATGTTTCCTATCCTCTGCCTTCAACAACTTACTTTTCTCTCAAGTAAGAATTCCACTGGCCCCATCCTGCCCACTCCATCCCCTCTATTTTCTCCACCCCCTTCTCCCTCCCTCCAAGACATCACCGGCCCTTTTCCATGGAGTGAGCCAAGCCCTCCACCTGCTCTCCTACAGGGCACGGCCACTGCTACTTGACAGCACACACTGCCCTCTGCTTTGCCTTGTCCTGGGTCTCAGTGGTCATCTCTCCAGCTCTAGGTCTGAGTGTAAAGAGGGACTGGACTCAAGGGATTCCGAACAATTTCCTGATGTGCCACCAGGAGGGAAGAGAGGACTGGATCTTTCCAAGTAAGGAGAAGCCATGCGGCTGCACAGCGTCCGACTCCTCTCCGATTCCTGGACATGATCAGATGCTGCTGCTGACCGCCGAATCTCACCTGGTGCACCTTGGACACGACTCTTCTCTCTTCTCCCAGCTCCATTCGTTCCAAGAGGACATTACTGAACTTCTCACGCTTTCCTTCTCTCAAAGGTCCATCATTTCGCAACACCATCTGTCTCTGTGGGTATCTGCATCATAGGGGATGAAGGCTCATTAGCACAGGTAAGCAGATGGCCTCCATTTCAGCGCATTTCTGCATTCTCCACTTAACAAGGCCTGTGTCTGCCTTGCTGATTATGTCTAAGATACACTGCAAAAATTATGTGTTGCAACTAAGCTCAAAGATAGAAGCAGAAGTGATATTTGAGTTTAATGCTAAGCCTAAAATCAGGTTCTAAGGAGAAAAGGTTTTTTTACTGATAAGTTGTTGTCATCCTATGAGTATTTTTGGTAACATTTAAATCCAAGAATTTAAATATTAATGAGGTCTTCTATCTCTCTTTTGATACCAATTTTTCCTCAGAAAAATTCTGATTAAGCCATCCTCAGCTGCAAATCTCAGTATAAAATCCATGCCTCGAAATTGGCAATCAAGAAAGTTCACTCAGAACCTGGCAGTTACAATACATGATTGTGCAGTAATCTTATCTGATTATATTATCAAGAGAAAGGAAATTTTCATTAGTTATCATAATATTAATCTGTACAGTTTATCTGTACAGATTATTTTGCTGCATTTAGTTTGCCATTGGTGGTGGGAACTCATTGAAATGTCCCCTATTTACTGAAAATAACCTAGGCGGGAGAATCTGGCATCGTTCTGGTGTGCGTGTGTGTGGGTGTGTGTGTGTGTATTCTGATTGAAATAGAAGCTGTGTTATTCATGAAACAATAGAGGATTGAATATTGTTCCCAGCTTCTAGATTTGTTTATTTTCTTCAAATAAATTCAATACGTTTAGGGTCTGCCAAAAAATTATCAGCAAAATGCCATGCCACCAATTTGTTTTTTTCCAAATGAAGACCGTGGGAAGACTTGGAGGTGAATGAGTTACACCTTGGTCACAGTGGTCCAGATTAAATACCGGGACCTGCAGACCTGCCCTGGCCATCCTGAGAAGTACTTCGAATCTGGATGCTGCTCTCAGGACCTGCTGAGGGTTAGGCTGTTGGGGGAGAGCTCTGGGCGAGAGCTTCCTGGGAGAGGTCCCTTCACATGGGTGGAGTGGTCTCTGCCCGCCCCCCCCCACCCCGTCAGTCCTTTGGAAGAGACCCTGCCTCAGCCCACCCAGCCTCCTCTCCTGGAAGGAGACCTTTGGGAGATTCTGGTTCCGGGGCTTTTGTGAAGGGGGTATGGAGAACTGGTAGGGAAAGTGCAGAGGGCAGCAATGGGAGGCGGAGCAGTCCACAGTGGAGGCTGGGGCCTGTCTGGCTTCTTGCTGAGGTTTGGGAGATGGGGGGAGAGTGAAGAACTCAGCAGGGGACAGTCCCTGTCAGCTGAGGGTGGGACACAATGGATTTGGGGAGCAAATTTTGTGGGTGATATATTGCAGCTTGTAACAGTGTTTGAAAAATGGACGTATTTTGGAATTTGATTTGAATTGACCAGTGGATTAGATTAGTCTATTCGAAGGTAAGAACTCCATTTCCAAAATGAGCTTTGACTTCTCTGACACCACAGATCTTGGCTTGCTTTGGTAGAAGCTGGAGGCACCTCTCTGCTCTCTGCCCCTCAGCCCTGCAGATTCTAGGTGCCCTGGCCTCCCTGCACCTGGCTGGGAGCTCCCTCCAGACAGCAAGCTGGGGCACCGGCATGCTCCCCTCCAGAGTGCCCACCTCGCAAGCGTCACCAGCCTGCTCCACCTCTTACCCCTGGGCTCACTTGTCTCTTCTGTCTTTGCTGCTGCTGCTTCCTTTTGTCTTAGCTATTTAAGGTGGAATGGCACACCTGGCCCCTAAAACTCTCCTAGTCCAGGTGTAATATTTCCATTTACCTGCAGTGGAAAAGGAATGCCTCGGGGCACTTGTAACCTGTCCCAAAGGTACCTCCTCCTCAGGGGCAGCATTTCCCTGGAGCGGTGACACACTCGCTGCTGCACTCTCGTCCTCTGCTGTGCTACTTCTGCATGGGGACAAGGCAGTGAGCCCCGTGAGAAGGCACCTGCAGCTCTCTCCTAACCCCTTTTACACAAAGCTGGGCTCTGTGCTTCTGTTCATCGGAGAGCCCACAGCTTAAAATGCACAATACTGAGTTCCCCAGACTGATCACTGAATGTGTCATTTGTGTACACATTGCACACATGGGTTGTGGAGTGGATTGCACGTGTGTGCATCCCTACACACATGATATGTGTATGTTGTGTGTGCATCATACACACACAGACATGCAAACATGTACCTGCCAGGAGCATTGGCAGTGACACTGCCTAAAGTGTCCCAGAGCAGCTCCCAGTCTCTGGGTCTCCTGCATGGACAGGCTTGGGTGGGGTCTACACCTCAGCTCCTCACACTCAGTACCACCGGCAGTCTGGTAACCAAGACACTCAACTCCCACTCTGACAGCGGCCAGGTGGGTCACGGCGTGTCCTCATCTTACCAGTAGTGTCTCAGTTTCTCTCTTTATCCACTTCTGAGTCATTTTCCAAGTTATTCTGGGCTCCTTTGGCCATTTTCCTATGAAAACACTCTCTACTCTCATACTTAAAACCCAGTGTGTGCCCTCGAAATGCCTTTGTTAGGTTTAACCAAATCAATTTCCTTCTTCCCATGGGGCCCTCTGAGAGCTTTAGGTCTAAAGACTTCTACTTCTTTATCTTCACAAGGGCTTCAGCAAACGCCAGCACGCTCCCCCCGAGATGGGCCGAGACTGTACTCTAGGCAATACGAATGTTTCTTTTCCTGTATTGTGGTTCAGAGTTGGGATCCTGCCTGTATGTGTCTGAAAGTTGATCTCTACACAATACCTGAGAGTGTCCTCTGCATGCCTGAGAGTGCTTGTGTGTGCCTGCTTCCTCACACCTCACCACCACAGACAAGAAAACACTTCACCAGTAAAACTGGGAGGCCCTGGAAGCTGACAATTCATTCACAGTGGGGTTTTTCTCTCGTACATAATTAGCACCTCAAGACATGCTCCATTTTATCATGTGCAGAATTCGCTCAGAAAAAGACAAGACAGATGGGCTGGGGAATGCAAATAGAAACACGTGATGGTACAATGAATACCCAGGCATGCAACTTAAATAATTTACACAAATATGTTCTAATTTGTGAGCCAGAATAAAAATAGCACCACTTGTCAAATAAAAGTTAAAACTTTGTTGGAAATTATTAGCCTTGACTGATACATCAGATTGTTGGATTTTCCATTATTAAGCATACCATAAGGGCAGAAATCTAAGAATACACATGGCCCCTTTCACAGCTGCACAATTGTCTTAATTGGCACTAATTTCCCTGCAATTTCAGTGTCATTTGTTTTCCTTGGTGTGGAAAAACACAGTGAGTTTGCCTTCTCTATCAATATTCCCAGGAAACCAAGCAGTGGGCCTTGGGAAGCAAACAAGGAAAACTGATCCATAATCAATATGTGAGCCACACTTGGGGAGACAGCCCAAGGGGCCCATCTGTTACATGTTCTGGGGCCAGAAGTAGACACGGGTGATGTCATTCCGATGTGCGCAGTATTTGAATTCCCGTTTCTGGGTGTCTGGAACGGGCGGCAATGGGCCTATGGAGTATTTCTGAAAATGAGTTCTGCATTTCCTGTGTATGGCAAAGCTTGGCAGACGTCACATCTGCACTGAAGTTTTGTTCTGAGGAGCACTCTTTCATTTAAGTTAACTAACTACACTCTCCTTACATATTGCATGGGCCTGAAAAGAGAAGTAAGCATATTGCCTTTTTTCTTTTGTTTCCAACACCACAAGAAGAATTTTTTGTCTTAGTTCAGAGTTCAAAGGAACAGATCTTTAAAAAAAAGTGTTGGAGAACAATTCTAGGAACACTTTAAAGGTGACCATCCATCCATCAATCAGTTTCAATATGTCTTAAAACCATTCTCACTGAAAAATCACGTTTCGTAAACTTCAGCATGTCAACACTGTACTGGTCTGAAAGAACCGAGAATTGTGGGGAGCAGCCCGGACTGGACTGAGTTACTGGAATTAAGACTTATTCTGTGCATCTGCTCTCCCACAATATGGCGCTGGGAGAGAAGTAAACAGCTTCCGCACAGCTGCCTCTAGTTCAACCAATAAACTGTAGGACTTGCTCCTGATTGGAGAGCAGCGTACTTGGCGTGTGGGCAGCCGAGTTAGGATTGGCGGAGGAGGACTATAAAGGAGGAGAGAGACGGCATGCACCAGGAACATCTAAGGGGAACATCTAGCTGAAGGAACACCTGTGCAGCCCCCGAGAGAGCCGGCCGGCGGTGTGCCGCTCCCCTGCGGAAGTGGGGAATGTGGCCAGGGGGAACTGCCCTTCCACGGAGGTGGAAGGGACGGTAGCCAACCCGGGAAGAACCAGTAGCAAACCCGGGGAGGGCCGAGCAGACGAAAGAACAGCGCAGGGTCCTGTGTCGTTCCTCCACGAAGAGGGGGAGCGACAAGAATCACCTGAAAGATTCTCAGTGCAGAAGAGATGTCACTCAGGGAGACAGCCCTGGTGCCGGCGCTGTGGCGTAACGGTACAGCCACCACCTGTGACAGTGGCATCCCATATTGGAACACTGGGCCAAGCCCAGCCTGCTCTGATTCTGATCCAGCTCCCTGCCAATGAATCTGGAAAAGCAGCAGAAGATGGCCAGAACTGCTTGGGCCCCTGCACCCACATGGCAGACCCGGGTGGAATTCTAGGCGCCCAGATTCAGCCTGGCCCAGCACCAGTTGTTCTGGCCATTTTGAGAGTGGACAAGCAAATGAAGGATCTCTCTCTTCCTCTGCCTCTCCTTTTCCCTCTAACTTTGACTTTCAAATACATAAGAAGCACATGAAAAAATAAAAAACAGAGACATCTTCATGGATACAGTGGCACATGCCAACATGCCTCTCCTGGAGAGAAGCCTGTGGTTCTTAGAGCTCTTTGCAAGTGCCACTAGGGAAACTGCAAATGCCTCTGGGCGTCAGGTCATGGGGTAAGATGTTCCCTCACTGGGGGCAGCATTGTGGCTTAGCAAATCAATCTGCTGC